CAAACACAAACCCAGGCCCATGACATATAGACACATAGAGATAGGTTGATCATATTAAAGATTGAAACATTGATTCATGGTAGGACTTTGAGCAGTCTTGTAGGAATGGGGTCTCAGGTGACATTCAGGTATTCAGGACGTACAGCGTTGGGAAAATGACTGGTTGGGCCTCCCTTAGCAGCAATAAAGTATTTGTGATAACGGCCACCGAGTCTTTTATAGCTGTGGGGGAGTTTTGCTCCACTCATCTTTACAGTATTGTTGTAATTCAGCCACACTGGAGGTTTTTCCAGCATGAACCATCTTTTTAAGGTCGTGTCACAGCATCTCAATCGTATTCAGGTCAGGACTTTGACTGGGCCACTCCAAAGTCTTCATTTTGTGTTTTCTTGTATTGTCTTTGTTTAATACTTAGACATATGGGAAAGTTTTCCGTGAAGAAGTTAGATATGTGTGTTTGGAGATGAACAGGACGTAGAGGAGGTGATGCAGCGAAGGACAAACAGTCCATCAATCAGTCGTGAAGAGTACAAGGAAATAAATTAGACAGCAGCTCAAAAACAGCTTTGAAAGTAAATACATTGCAGCATCTCTTCCATATCCTGTTAGTCTTCAAACATGCATATTTACCTTCTTCACTGATGGGAAAGAAAACTTCCAGAGTTTGTTTAAACATGTTTCTTTGGCACAGGCTCCTGTAACGTCATAGAGCACGTGTCTGACAAGCTTCATCATGACATTCCACTCACACTCAGGTATTCAGGACATATGCTGGTCTATCGTTCAAGCTCAGGTCCTCCACCAGATTATACAGCCTCCTGTATCTGCTCATATAGTAGTGGAAAACTCCACACATGTCAGGGCAGCATGTACAGTCTCGTACGTGCAGCGTACGAACAGATAAATCTCACTCTTCTGGTTTCCTTTCACTTGGTAACAGGAGGTAGGAGATATCAGAGATGGTCTCTGCCTCTGAGACCCAGCAGAGCAGAGACCTCCCCTCAGAGGTGAGGATGGGACCACAAAGTGGCTTTGGCCTATTACACATTCAATTCCCAAGACACAAACACATTCTTGTGTGGCTGTCTGCCATCTAAGAGAGCAGTCGTAACAGAGATCAAAAAACAGCAGCCACGCTGAGAAGGACAGAGAAAAGCACGAGAAGATTCTTTAGAACAATTCTGAATCCAAGTTCTTCAATCTTTATGGACCCATGACCTCTGTGATCGCCATCACCAGGGAGAGAGCAGGAGGTGGTGAGGCAGCAAACATCATAATACCATGTTTGTAATCCACCCAATAAATTAAAAAACAAATCACATGTAACAAAGTTTTCATTGCTTTTGTTTATTTTAATAATGTTTAATAATGTAGCAGACGGTCTCTACTAAAGTGAAGCTCTGGTACCAGTGAACATAATCTCTGTACACATGCCAGGCAAGGAAAATAGGACACACCTTTCAGATATGCTGTGAGCCGAATGGGTCATGTTAAGAAAACTGTAGATAAAAACAATAAATTCAACTGAAGAAGTAAAAAGTAAGACGTCAAACCAAGGTTAGAGTTTTATTTTTTAAATATTCCTGTTCTGAAAATGAGAAAGGTGAAATCAAAATCTTACTGTTGATCT